TTTTTCACTGCTCAAAATTGTTTCCCCGGCATAAGAATAAAAAGGAAATTTGCTTGGGGGCCACTTAAAATAGTCCCATTGAAACATTTCCCAAACCCACTTGTGCCCTCTCTTTTGGAATATTGATCGAAAGAGGGCTCTTTTTAGACAGGGAAATGTTAGAGGTGGAACAAATAGAGATTTTTTAGGCCCATTGTGATTTTAGTATAGGACAAAATAAAGTTTTTTAAATTTTTGGGAAAAACTTTCAAAAAGTTTTAAAAAAATTTGTGCTCATGGATGAAGGAGAGATACAAAATTATTACCTGGAAAGTCCCTTGGGGCCTTTACCAAAAAAACCCTATGAAAAGCTTTGGATGCGGGTGAGCACAAAAAGGGGAAAACCGTATAACGTATGTGGCCCCCGGCTGTCAACATCTTACGGGGAAAAACCAGATAACCGGGAACTGTGATGGAATGTGGGTCACGACCAACAGAAAGGCAACAGCCTGGGGACCAGGCAGCCCCAGACAAACCCGGCCCCAAGGCCGGGCTCTGGAAGTAGAAAAATGGGAATCCCCAAAGTATATCAATGATAGTTTTTTTGTTCTTTGGAAATTTGGTGAGAAAGGTACATAATAATGTACACCGGGAAAATCGTGGAGGACGGGTTAAAAACCCTGAACAGGAACTCTTTCCATATGACAGGAAACTTGGCAGTGGTGCAGAATACCTCCACTAAAAAAAAGGGGAAATTGAGGGCTACCTGGAGAAAAACTCAATGAGTTTTGGAAATTCTTGACTCTTAAATTGCTTCCCTTTTCATGATACGGGGAAATTTAAACCACAAATCTTGGGCTGTTTTTCAAGAAAAAAGGGACAAGCCACAAACCAGTCCCGTCTAGTGGACGATTTTCTTTGGTTGGGCTGCATGGGGCCAGCTTTTTAAAAATAGCCTTTTTGATCAGCCCTTGTTTCCCCGGGAAAGGCCGGGTTGGGGACCATGCGTGGGGGGCCTTTTGGGCCCCCAAAAAAAAAGAAAATACCCTTTTAGGAAAGTCCCAGATAAACCAGGCGCCCTGGATATATGGAAAAAGGGAAAGGGTCCAGGGGGTTAAGGGCCCCCTGGTTGACCATCAAGTAAAAGGACAACCCGGGCCGGGGGCTGGGCTGCAAGGGGAAAAAACTAAAAACTCATAAAAAGGTTTTCCCAAATTTGGGTTACTTTTTGGTGTCTGTTTTATTTTCCCCCAGCAAGGAAGGCCCATAGTGTATACTCAAGAGGTTTGTAGCTTTTCCCCCCAACAGTATAAATGTTGAAAGTTTAATCCATTTTTTTAAGAATTAACATTTTTTCCCTGACTAGTTTGAACGGGTTTATTTATTTTACAGCCCTTTTTTTCCCTCATACTTTTTAAAAGGGAAATCTGGAATCTGTTTTAAAACCAAAAATCACCTCACGGGTGGTTTGAGGGGTTCCCAGTTCTAAGTCCTAGGGGGTAGGAAAAAAGTAAAACAGATTTTGATTTGGTGAAAACCCTTAATGGACAGTCGTGTGCATCATATATGACGGAAAAATGGGTCCCAAACCCAAGTATAAAAAACAAGACATTTTTAAAAGAGGACCCCTTATTAGACAATGTTTCTCTCTGGTGGTTTCTAAAAATGAGCAGGGCCATTGTAGAATGAAGACTTTTTTCTGTAGATGTCAATTTACCAGGTATAAATCTGGGGGTACTACAGTATTTTGTCATTTGTATTTGAAATGGCATAAAAAATTTAGATTGTATATTCTTTTCTGGGGGAAATTAATAATTTTAAAAATTTAGCAATATAATGGATGGAAATGAATTTTTTTTTTATATTTTGACACTTTTTTAAAAAGACTTAAATTTCAAACTTACAGTCCCCTCTACCTTTTTGCAACGGCCCAAATGAAACGAAAAATTCTCAACCTTCGCTTCCGGTGGAGGAAGGTGTGAGCGGTCCAGTGAGAGGGGGCAAAACTTTTGGTACAGACAGCCCATTGACGCCAGTCCCACCTTAAAGTAAAACGGGGTTGGGTCAAGGGGTGGATGGCATTGTGTCTCACCCGGGTTTGGGGTTGTGGTGGGGCCCCTCTGCTCTAAAGGGGCTCCAGTTTTTGGAAAAAGGTTAGGCTTTCCCTGTGTACCTGTAAATACCCGAAAAAAATTTCAGTCCCGCCGAAAGATTGTCAGGGTGTTGGTGCTTGCTGTGTGCAGTACAATATAGGGAAAAATTCTAACGATAATGAATTTTTTTTTCAGTGGTTTGAAAAAATAATTTTTTTTTCCCTGCCCTTGATGTAAAATTTAAAGTGATAAAAATTGAAAATGATTTTTGAAGGGGTAAAATTAAATTGAAAAAGATTCGGGAAAAAATTTTTTTCATGGTTTTTCCCCCCCATAAATTAAATTTTTATGTGGGTTTTATTACTAAGCCATAAATATTTTTGGGTTTCCCCTTTCCCTTGGGAAAAAATTCATTGTAGAGCATTGAAAAAAAAGTGAAAACCCTTTCTGTATAAATTTTTTTCAATCTTTGGGGAAGCTTGAACTTGAAATGTCTCATAACCTAGAGCTTTTCAATTTTTTAAAAAAAATTGGGAAACCCAATTTATTTATTAAAAAAAAAGAAGTTTTATACAATTCCTGGGGGAAATTTGGGGATAATCATTAAATTTTTACAAAATAGATGAATTTTGATTGCATTTTTGTAAAAACCCCCGATTTTACAGAGATTTTGGGCAATAAGCTAGTGGCTAAAAAGGGGCGGGTGGGGTTTTTTAGGGCTCTATGACCGCGGGTTCAAAACCCGGCCCCGGGGGGATTGGGTTTTAAAACTAAATTTTAAAATACTGTACTTGATATTATTAAAAGTTTTTATGTTGAAAAATTTTTTTGATTTTCTGGCCTACAATTGCTGCAAGCCCCCTGGTCCACAGTTCCTCCCCCTCTCCATGTTTTCCATCATTGGGTTTCCCCCTTTTCCCTGATACATGATACAGTACCTTTAATCTTTAAAAGATTGTTCAAAGCTTGCTGATGTTAGATGTGTTAGTAATCTGTTTGGGAAGTATCTCCATGGCAGGTTCCCCCGGGTCGTATTACTTGTACAGCCTCATAGACCCAAAAGGTGCCAAATTTTAGTCAAATCCCCTGGAGGGTGCTCCTGTGTTTTCCCTTTACACTATTCACTGCATTGGTGCTGCCACCCAGTATCCAGTCACATGCTTGAAGGTTTTCACTGGCATCTCAAGATAGTTCTCATGGTGTACCTTCACTCTGCACTTGACAACCTTCCAGGCCTTTCCTGGCATCCTCTTGGTGATGGAAGAAAGCATATTTATTGACATGCTAACCTATGGCTCTACTCTCCAGCTCCCTACTGAACTCATAATGGCACTGCCCACTGTTCTGCTGGATCCTTTTACTTATGTAGAAGAACTGTATACTTCCATAGCTAATGTCAGCCAGGCCTCACCCCTCTTCCCCACCATTTGACCTACCATATTTCGTGGCTTACTAGGCACATGTTTTTTTTTCCATAAAATGTCTCTAAAACCCACCCTGTGTCCTATAAACTGAGGGTCAGTGATGGGAGCTATAAGTTTGGGGCGTGGGGTGGGCTGTAGCTCTCCCAGTTATGTCTGATGCTGAGCCATTGAAACTAAAACAGGTCTTATAAGCTGTGAAATACAGTATATATGTTCCTTGGGTTCTCCACCCAGCCAGAAACATCATCCAGTGTTGACATAGTTGCCATCCTTCTTCAACAGCCTTATAAAAGACCCTTCAGTGTGGTTTCTCAAATGACCAAGCATTTCACTATAGAACACCCGAAGCAGGACCTAGATCATCTCTGTTAACCACAAGGCAACACACCTGGATTCTACTACAGATATAATTGTCACTTCCTTGTCTCATCTGTTCTTTTCCACCTCTCCATTCTTCTCTCCCAGTGACACACCTACTGCAGGATGCATAGGCATTAGCTACTTTGTATCCTCTGCCAGCCATTACAGCTTCTGCTCCACTGCCTGTTATCATGCAGGATTCTCCACCAATGCTGCCTGCTGCTTCCAAACCTTCAAGATTTTGTCTTCCTACCATTCCTCCTACTCTTGTAGGTCACTTGTTCTCTCCAAGCTAGAATACTGCTGTATATGGCCCCCTTATCCTTTTCAAGCCAGGCAAGATTGCCGAGCTGGAAAACATACAAAGAACTTTTATTGTCATATACACTCAGTCATGCATTTGAACTACTGGGAATGCTTGAAGTCCCTTCATCTGTATTCCTTGGAATGAAGGAGAAAACAAGGTACATAATAATTTACACCTAGAAAATCCTGGAGGGAATGGTCCCAGACCTGAACTCCAAAATAATTCTTTATCACAATAAGAAACTTGGCAGGCAGTGTAAAATTCCTCCACTTAAAAGCAGAGGCATGACAAAAACACTAAGATAGAACTTGTTGAGTATCAGGGTCCCTGGCTCTTCAAAACCTTCCCTCTACTGGACAAGTTCCTCAAATCATTGCCTGACCAACCAGGCTGTGGTTCATATGTTGAACTGTATGTGGCCAGCAGTAACAGCCTGGTTGATCAATTCTTGATTCTCCAGGAAGCCTGGTCTGGGACTGGGGTTGCAGGGGCTTTGACCTTTTGATACATCCTTCAGGTATCCATAGTGCTTAGGGAATGAGAGGTTTCAAGTTTATCCCACGAAAAGGAGAGTAGCTCAGATTTCTTGGATCAAGAGCCCTTCACCTGCATCTAGGTACTGCCTGATGGTAGTTTAAGAATACTGCTTGTGATTCCTTAATAGAAGACCTGAAAACAGTTTAATTGAAGAGGCCTTTAGGTGGTTGCAAAATGTGGTGTATGGTTGCAGGTTTCAGTATTTTTTGTTAGATCACAGTGTTACCTAACAGAAAATTTTTGCATATTGTGATTAAAACATAGCTTTATTTGTATAGTACTGTTACTTGGGTCTAATTATTAATCGTTTTTTCTCAACAGGTGGTCTACTTCACTGCCATTTTTCCGTACTGTATCCTGGTCATCTTCTTTGGCCGAGCCATTACATTGAAGGGAGCTGGGGAGGGACTCAAACACATGTTCACACCAGATGTAAGTTATTTTTCCTCATTTTACTACAACACCTATTAATTTTTGGGCTTTCTGATTGTTGTTTTTCAAACACTGGCCCAAGACTCTTTGACTACAATGTACATATTAGGATGTGAGAGAGTAAATAAGTCACAGGGAGGGATAAAAGTTTATGCAGGTACAAGGCTTAATTTGTTGTATATTATTATTATTATTATTATAATAAAAAAGAAGCGCTAAGCCACAAGGGCTATACAGCGCTGAATTTGTTGTATAGAACTGGTGAAATCAACAAAGGTTTTAATGAAAGTTGTAGATATTAAATTGAAGAACAAGAATCAGTAATTATCTTTGTGTATAAACTAGTGTCAGCAGTAGCAGAGTAATTCTGGGAATGGATAAGGAAGAAAAATAGCTGCCTTGAAATTACAGTAGTACATGTCCCATCAATGAACTAGGTCTACAAAAAAAACATTTTAGCGTCAGAACATGCCATTGATATCTCATGCAACGTCACAGGTGGTTAACACAGATGGAAAGGAAGGGGATGCTGGAAGTTTTCTTTTCTTGAATCTGATGATAATATTCAAAATGTTGACTAAATTACGGAAAGTCTAGAAAGGTATTCATGGCAGTTTTTCCCAAAGAGTAAAATAAATTTTTTATTGGATACTAAAGTATCATTATGTATTAAATTTGGTAGAATTACTGACAATATGTTAAGTAAAAGGACACAAATGTAACTAATGGGACATTTTATTGTGGCAACGTTTTGTTCTCCAGGAGCTATGTCAAGCCGTTACATAGCTCCTGGAGAGTGAAACATTGCCACAATAAAATGTCACACTAGTTGCATTTGTGTCCTTTTACTTAAACTATCATTAATTAGGGCTTAAGACATATTTTAGAAAAATTTGCTTTTTTAAATGGTATTAATTATGTGATTAATATAAGATATACCATATATATATTTTTTTACCAGTGAAGCATATTAATTTACAAAAGAATGAGAATGGAAGAAACTACCAAACAAAAAAGAACTCTCAAAACCCACTGCATTTATTATCAGTGAAATATTTCTTTACTCACTGGACTTGTATATAGTCCAAATTCCAGAATCCGGACGTGGTAGCTGTGCATGAAATCAAGAAAATGGACAGAGTGTTGTTAGTGGAAGGAAGGAAGGCAGAAAGGAAGGATCAAAGCATAAATCTTAATCACAAAATATGCCTGCTGAATACACACAGGCCAGTTACTATGTGTGTCATTGATCTTTAAGATGACAACAGTATAGTACTGTGCATATCCATTGTCTGACAAATTAATGATAAACTCAGAACCCACCAGAATTAAGAAAGAGGAAACCGAATTACAGCACTATACAATTACTCAGATTACATCTTGCTGTCTTATGCATCATGAATTTTAATTGGACCTTTTTACAATAGTAAGCCAAACTCTACTTTATCAATATACACTGCTCAAACATACATAAGAAGAACCCAAGAGTTTGAGCATGTTTAATATTCTTCTCAAATACTCACTAGTTAATGCTAAATTATGATGGCTACAAATATAATAGCTTTACCATAGGGCATGGAATATCATATTTTTCTGCTGGTGTTCATATGAAATGCAGTTTTTTAGTACAGTATACATGTATACTATTATAAGTTATGAAATATATGGTTAGTTGAATATTCAATTTAGACTTTATTATTATATATTCTATACAAAAGGACGACAAATTTTAATAGTTAATGAAATCATGCTAAATATTTCATGTTTTACTCATTATCTGTTGAGATGGTAAATATATTACCAATGAATATGCTGTTTAATAATGAGAATATTGGAAGTGCCTTGTTGATGGTGAAGGGGCTCTTAACTGAAAAAATTGGAGCTACCCTCCATTCCTTTGGATCAAAACTGATTACTATACCTCCCATTCCCCAGGTACTGTATAACCCCCTACAGATTAAATGTTTCCTTGTGAAAATAATAATATTGGCCATATTCTGTGCTTTTGTACAATCAGTGCTGTTTACAAAAGAAGTGATGAATAATAAAATAGTAGTGAAATATTGTACAGTATTAGTGAAATATTCAACACACACAGATAAATAACCTCTATGTGTGTAATGTGGTGAAGAACAAGCTCCCAGAGGCAGTGCATGTGGAAAAAGCATCAATGGGCAGACCAGTGTGGCATTTTATGTGGCATCGTATGATAGGAAATCAATGTTAACAAAGATGTGCACTGCTCATTATCATTATCTTGTACACACATCTCTTCAGATGGAATGAGCAGGGCATGTGAAGTGTGTCCCAGGTGCTCATTCCAGCTGAAGTGATGTGATATGGCACAATGATACTCGGTCCAACTCTTTATTAATAGTGGTTTTCTGTCACATATTTCCATGTGGTGAAATTATCAAGAGTGGCATTGTATAGTTTACCTCTATACTGTATTTTCTGTCTAACCCAAGCAGCCAGTGGCATGAGCACAGCCAGTTTTGAGTCTGGTGATACTGTTTGGCCTGCTCATGCTTCCATAAGGTGAAGAAATTGTTAGTACATAAAAGAAGAGAATGCACATTACAAGAAAAATTTGACGCCGAAGAAAAATTGCTAAACATCTTAGCCACTGTATTGAAATTCAACAAGTGTTAGTCTGAGTATTAAACTGTATGTTACATAATAATGTTGCTGACAAGAAAAGATTGTACACCTTTGGATGGAAGATATTATTATCAATGAAAAAACAGAAAATACAGCTCACATGAAACACACACAAACACACACACACACACAAGATGCTTTAGGGGTAATAGTTTGTGATTTAGCATTGTAAAATGTTACAGTAAACGAACATATTACATGTCATGCTGTGGTACATTGGAGGCAAGGATGTGTTTTTCTTGGTACAAAAATTCATTAGAGGTAGATGCCAGCTTCAAAAAGAAATATAAAAACCAAGCTCCTCTATATGATTTTAGAAATAAGAAAGACTAGTTTCACATCCTTCTCCAAGAGGTTAGTCTTGGTACTTACATCTGTTACCTCATCTTAATCTATCCACAAGTCTGGTTGTAAAGACAGCATAAAATATTTGGTAAGTAAAATAATTTCAGATTAACAGTAAATTTATATTAGAACTACGTACTGTAAAGGTCACTTCAAGAGAAGGGGTGAAGGTACCTTGAAGGTGAGAGTTCTTGATCCAAGGAAGTTGAGCTACCTTCCCCTTCCATGGATGGAACTTAATTACCCTCACCCCTCCCATGTCCCGGGTGCTGCATAACCCTTACAGGTTCAGTGCTTCCCACAAATATAATAAAGGTCCTGTTTTCTGACTTCCAGCTTTCCAGGTAACCCAATTATTAATTTTTTCTGGATAAATATTATATCTAAACTTAAAAGTTCATAAGTCAGTTGGTGGAGGAGTTTCAACCACTTTCTGCATATCCAAATCCCAGATCATTGTTCTTTTGATACCTTGGAGCTGTCAATATTTATTCAGCAATTGTATTCATCTTTACTACTAAATGCAAATAATTCAAATAACATAAATTTCTTCATTATGTCAATGCTGATAATGTACTGAAACTGTGCTGCCAAACACAACAATAAGAGAAAATGTGTTGGTAGCAAGAATGTTAATTACTGAACACATCAAACAAAAGAGTCCCTCGAGTGCGGATATACCATGATGATTAAGATGTGTGTACAACAGCTGGGTATCTTTATTGCTGAAATGTTCAGTCAAATGCAGAGGCAACAGGTGTCTTAATCATCAACTTATCTGTATTTTATACCATTTTCAAGATATACTGTGAGTATAATATTAAGAGAAAACTGCTGTTGACATCTTAAAGGCCAAAGATAATGTGCTTGGGTTTTATTCTTCCATGGGATATATTGAGTATGAATCAATGTAAAGCAATGAGTTTATTTAAACTTGTCTAAGTTTTTTGATAAAATTCTGATGTATATTTGGAGTATGTTGAGTATATTCATTACTGATTTCATGTATTAACAGTGCTAAATAGTAATCTATCCAAGTATATTTTTTGATATAGTATTTCATGTGCAATGGTAGCAAGATAATAGGACCTTTATTATGTCTTAAATTTCAGCTATTTTTTCATGCAGTAAATATCTTTCCCCACTTGAGCTAAATGGGACCATCAAGCAGTTTTTTAATGTTCAATTGGTATGATCAACAGAATATAATCAGAGCTTCTTAACATAATACAACATTTAAAATATGTAATTTATGCTGACCAGAAGGAATACATTGTAAAATAAATACATAATGTAAAATAAATAGCATGAAGAGTAGGGAAAAGGAGAAAAGGTTGATCAAACAGCTAACGAGTAACATATACAGCTTAATGCAAACTGATGCTGTAGGAGCCCTAAGAGTTAAGTGCGTCCCATGAATGAAAATAATAATACGTATAGCCAAACTGACCCTTCAAAAAGGGTGCCCTCATACTGGTAAAGTGCTCGTGATCTGAGAAATTGGAGTTACCTTTCACTTTCTCAGATCATGCCTGGCTGCCTCTCATTTCCCAGATGTATGACTTTTATGGGTTGAGCACCTCCCCATGAATATTAAAAAAAAAAAACAATAATTATCCCTGACACTGGTGAAAAGCTCTTAATACAAGAAATTGTTACTCTTCCCTCTACTTGTGTATTTACCTTTCACATTTATATTCAACTTAAGGTATTTTCAGCTTATGAAGGGTTCATTGGAATGTAACCCCATCATGAGTTGAGGAATGACTGTACAGCATTATTCCTGTGTTTCCTGAGTTACAACTCGCCCAGTAGTAAAAACTTTTTTATACATATTTTGTATATTACCCTAATGTAATTTTTTATAATTTTACAGATGAGTAAGCTTCTGAATCCAACTGTTTGGATGGATGCAGCCTGTCAGGTTTTCTACTCTCTTGGGCTGGCGTTTGGTTCGCTGATTGCTTTTGCATCTTATAATCCCATGAAGAACAACTGCAAACGTGATGCCATCTTCATGTGTCTCATAACAGTTTTCACCGCCACTTTTGCCACTGTTGACATCTTTGCTGTACTCGGCTTCAAAGCCGTGGCCAACTATGAGAAATGTGTTCACCAGTAAGTTGTTTACCATATGCTTTTTTTATATTAATGAAAAGGAATAATGGTGAATGTGTTTCCTGTTTTTGGGTCATCCATTTCAGAGTGGGAAAATATTCATTGTGTTAAAGATATACACAGTGGTACCTCGAGTTACGAATTTAATTCGTTCCAGAAGGCTATTCGAGTGCTGATACCGAACGAATTTGTTCCCATAAGGAATAATGTAAATTAGATTAGTCCGTTTCAGACCCCCAAAGATACACTTACAAAAGCACTTGCAAAAATACACTTACATAATTGTTCGAGTTGGGAGCTATTCGAAACTTGAGGTACCACTGTATATATATTTTTAACACATTGTCCATTTCCCACCGAGGCAGGGTGACCCAAAAACGAAGAAACACTTTCATCATCACTTACTCTCACTCTCTTGCCAGAGGTGTGCCGATACTAAAGTTCAAAAACTGCACCGTATCTTCATCCCTCCTTCAGAGTGCAGGCACTGTTCTTCTCACTTCCAGGACTTAAGTCCTGCTAGCAGTTTCCCTGAATCCCTTCATAAATGTTACCTTGCTAACACCCCCAACAACACTTCGAGTCATAAAAACCACTTCCCTCCACTCACTCCTATCTAGCATGCTCACACACACTTGCTGGATGTCCAAGTCCTTTCACACAAAACGGTCCTTCCAACCTTTCCTAGGACGACCCCTACCCCATCTTCCGTCCACTACAGATTTATACGCTCTCCAAGTCTCTCTTTTCTAAATGTCCAGACCATCTCAGCAACCTCCTCTTCAGCCCTCTGAATATACTTTTAGTAACCCCTGCACATCCTTCTAGTCTGTAAGCTGTGGATTCTCTACAAAATATTCACACCACAGATTGCCCTCAGACATGACATCACTGCCTCCACCCTCCTTGCTGCAATGTTCACAACTCATGCTTCACACCCATATAAGTGTTGGCAACACTATATTCTCATGCATTATCCCTTTTGTCTTCCTTCTTAAATATTGCTACCCTAGGTACACATGGGAAGGTAGGTGCATGTGCACAAATAACCTGCATCTGCATAGGAGAATGAAGCTTAGGATGACATTTCGGTCCAACTTGAACCAGTAATGGATTATTTGTGCATTTTTCCAATCACTGTATTGTGCATGTTTATTCTTTAGGTACATACGGGTAGGTACATATGGATCTGTACATGCAGGTAGATACCCATGATTAGATACTTACAATATTTCCCTCATACTATTTTTTGGATTTCATGTGGAAGAATTCGCAGGCAGTTTGTATGGTAACTCATTGTTCCACTGTATTCCTCAGAAATCATCTTATTTCTTTACAATTGTTTTTTTATGCAAATTTAGATTTCTTACTTTCGTGCTCATAAAAATTTTTGATGTCTTGTTTACACAAGACATTACAGGTCGGCCATCACTAATCCAGCCATCAGTTTTCTGGTTCCATCAGTAATCCGACACTAATTTCGGCTAGCATAATTTCAAATTTCATCATGATACTGACTCAGAAACTGTACAGATAGTTGTAAATCTACAGCAGCAAGCCAGTGGAGGTGAAACCAGTGATGAAAATGAGGAAGATATAGCAGAAGGAGTCTCTATTGATAGGTTAATTAAGTATATTCTAACCTAACCACTCTAAAATCCAGCACTCTCACTAATCTGGCACACTACAGGTCCCAATGATGCCGGATTAGTGATGGCCAACCTGTATTAGCACTCAAACCTTGATGAGAAACACTGAAATAAGCATTCTCAGCATACATTAGACCAAGACTGGAATATGCTGCAGTGGTTTGAAGTCTATAACTAAACAAGACAAGCAAGGCTTAAAGAATTGGATATGTCATTGTCATTTGTGGCTGATAGGGGTAAAGGTGGAGACAGCTGCTTTCAAAATTATAAAAGTGTACTAGAGTATTGATGTGGAAATGGTCCTAACCTCCATTAACCCTTTGAGGGTCTACAGGCCCTCTCCGAGACTCGTTCTCAGGGTCGGCCAAATTTAAAAAAAAAAAAAAAAATTCTTATGAAAAGATAGAGAATCTTTTCCCGATCATAGTGACACCAAAAATATGAAATTTGATGGAAAACTTACGGAATTACGCTCTCGCGAAGTTAGCGGTCTTGGCAATGTTTACGGATCGGCGATTTTGCCCACTTTGAGCCCCATTTTTGGCCAGTTCCACTGTACTAGTCGACAAAAAACATGAATATTTCGCTAGAACTCCATTTTTTCTATTGAATGAGTGCAAGAAACCACCCATTTACCAATTTCAACTATCCAGTACAGTGGTCAGAATTTAGCAATTTTGCCAATTTCACACAAATTTCAAAAGATGCCAATTTCCGAATAAGGTCCAGAACAAACAAGAAATACATTCCTGGCACTAAAATGACATTTCCTCTGTTCATTAGTCACATCTCAAGGCCCCTCTTACATTCTTTTGCTTTCCACTTTGAATTTTTATTCTCACAAAAAATAGAAGATTTACTGTTATGCAGACTACTGCATTAGTGTAAAAAATGGTATGAATCATATTGGCGCACTTGCAAAAAAATATTAGACTCACCAGTTGACGTTTATTGGACGCTTGGCATGATTTGTTTACTTTTGAACTTTGGTAAAAATCAAACATTTCTGCTACTTTGAGCTCAATTTTAAGGTACTTTTCATTGTAAAACCAGTCAAAATCATCTCAATTTCTGTGATATGCCTTCCATTCTATAAAATGAGACCAAGAAAACTAGAATACAACAATAAATACCATACGAAAATACAGTGCAAAGTTGCTGTTTTATTCCAAAAAAACGGTAAAAGTTTTTTTTTTTTTCTCATTATGCACTGTGTGCTGCAGGATTTTTTTTATACTGTGCACACTGACCACATAGACCCATTCTTTCATATGGAGGCCTACCAGCTTTCTCCCACTAGATTTGAGGGCACTAGAATTTAGGCGTACTAGTACGTCAAAAACCCTGGGTCGTAAGCCATACTAGTACGTCCGAAACCCTCAGAGGGTTAATAGAATGAGCAAGAGACCACAATTATAAACTAAGGAAGAAGAGCTGCTAATAAAGTACTAGAAAGTTGTTCTTCTCAAATATAGTAGTAGTAGTAGAACAGTGGAATAGTTAACTTTAAGACAAAGTAGGTGGTACAACTTCTAGAAAGTTTAAAAAACTTTGCACTAGACTCAGTACTAAAGGGGGAACACCATGAGTTTAGCTCTTCTTCTGTAGCTATAAATGGGTAATCACAAATAGGAAATGACTGGTAGTATCAAAGAAACCACCCTATACACTTGAATTTCGTCTCACTTGACAGCTGCCTTCTCCATTTTAGGTGAGTGGTATGATTGCAAAATTGGCCTCAGTAGTCCTTCAGAATTATGGAAAACATATTGCTGGGCTGGATTTCACTGCCTCCCCATTTGTCTTGTCTACGATTGCCAATTTGAGAAAGTGAGTTGGGTGGGTTACATGCTGACTCCTGCACAACAGCCATACTGGAGACAATTATCAGAACAGTGGTTAATTATGGCTTATTGGAACTTAGCAAACCTTTCTGGGCTGTTAGAGATTTGAAGTAGGTTAGGATTAGCGCAACATATTTCAAAATAGGCCCCTGTTGTCCCCATCGCAGAACTAGGCTTTTGGACTTTTCAGTTGAGTATTATAGCAGTTTGTCTTATAGCATCATTCAGCAATAACAGTGTAAAGATTAAAAAATTACAATTGAGAAATTAATTTAAATAGTTTGTTATGACACATAGGGGCCAACAAACACTTGCAGAATGTGAATTTTTGAACTCTCTGAAGGTCCCCTATCTGCCAGCTGCTTCAGAGCTATTGTTGAAAAGCATCTTATCTTAACGTAATCCAGACAGCAATTCACTAGTCAAACACTATCTATCCTCATGCACTTGTGTTCCTGTTCTTCTTCCAGCCTTCCTTCAAATCCCATATATAATTGATAACATATATGGTCCCATTAGATTTGTATTATATTTTAAGTAACCTGCTGTAATTTTGCTTTCCCCTTTCAGTCATGCCATAAAACTGAAGATCATTGGACCTGTTTAAATAATATGTAAATGTTTTGTAATTGACCACTTTGTCATTAGTTACTTTTCTTATTGAATGTATAATTGTTTTTAATCACACAAGAAGACCTACACAGTGCTATATCTAGTTCTTAAATAGTTGCCCAGAATGCAAGGCATAATTAGTGGCTTTCTTTGGTGACTACTATTTTACTCATCAACATTACCTGTATGCTAAAGGTTAAGTAAAGTTCATCAGGAAACAGGAAATGGGTCTTAGTCATATGATGACCTACCACTTCAGCTTCTGGTCACCTGACCAAGGCCTTTTGCTGGCTTACCGGTCCATGCCTTTAAAAATTAATAGATAACAGAAAGTCTTATCATTATTATCAATATCATTATGAGGTATGGAAGGGGTAGTTTCAGCTTCATGAATCAAGAGGCCTTTCTTGCCATCAATCTTCTTGGCCGAGCTTTAATCCATTCTTTTTTATTTGCTGTACAACCACGTATCTTATTTATAGTATGACTTAAACCTGTGCCTCCTGCTGTCTAGTGAAAGTTAAATACGATGTATGTTTTCAGTAACATCGAGAAGCTGCAGGCCATCTCTCACAACTGGACGAAGTACAGTGAAAACATCAGCATTACTGTGGATAACTATGATAAGGTCTGGCCAAAGATATTCCTGCCCAGGCTCAAGGAATATTATATCAATGAAACTCACAAGCATATCAAGAACTGCAGTGTGGCTGATGAGCTCAATCAGGTATAGTATTATTTTTATTATTATTATTTTTTTTTTTAACAAGTCGGCCATCTCCCACTGAAGCAGGGTGACCCAAAAAGAAAGAAAATCCCCAAAAAGAAAATACTTTCATCATCATTCAACACTTTCACCTCACTCACACATAATCACTGTTTTTGCAGAGGTGCTCAGAATACAACAGTTTAAAAGTATATATGTATAAAGTTACGCAACATATCCCTCCAAACTGCCAATATCCCAAACCCCTCCTTTACAGTGCAAGCCTTGTACTTCCCATTTCCAGGACTCAAGTCCGGCTATATAAAATAACCAGTTTCCCTGAATCTCTTCACTAAATATTACCCTGCTCATACTCCAACAGATCGTCAGGTCTCAAATACAATTTGTCTCCATTCACTTCTATCTAACACACTCATGCACGCTTGCTGGAAGTCCAAGTCCCTCGCCCACAAAACCTCCTTTACCCCCTCCCTCCAACCTTTTCGAGGACGACCCCTACCCCGCCTTCCTTCCCCTACAGATTTATACGTTCTCCATGTCATTCTACTTTGATCCATTCTCTCTAAATGACCAAACCACCTCAACCCCTCTTCAGCCCTCTGACTGATACTTTTATTAACTCCACACCTTCTCCTAATTTCCACACTCCGAATTTTCTGGATAATATTTACACCACACAGTGCCCTTAGACAGGACATCTCCACTGCCTCCAACCACCTCCTGGCTGCAGCATTGATAACCCAAGCTTCACACCCATATAAGAGTGTTGGTACTACTATACTTTTACACATTCCCTTTTTTGCCTCCATAGATAACATTTTTTGTCTCCACATATTCCTCAATGCACCACTCACCTTTTTTCCTTCATCAATTCTATGATTAACCTCATCCTTCATAAATCCATCCGCCGACATGTCAACTCCCAAATATCTGAAAACATTCACTTCTTCCATACTACTCCTCCCCAATTTGATATCCAATTTTTCTTTATCAAAGTCATTTGATACCCTCATCACCTTACTCTTTTCTATGTTCACTTTCAACTTTTTACCTTTACACACACTCCCAAATTTGTCCACTAACCGTTATTTCCAATTTTTCTTTAGAATCTCCCATAAGCACAGTATCATCAGGAAAAAGTAACTGTGTCACTTCCCATTTTATATTTGATTCTCCATAATTTAATCCCACCCCTCTCCCGAACACCCTAGCATTTACTTCGTTTACAACTCCATCTAGAAATATATTAAACAACCATGGTGACATTACACATACATGTCTAAGACCTACTTTTACCGGGAAGTAGTCTCCCTCTCTTCTACACACCCTACCCTGAGCCTCACTATCCTCATAAAAACTCTTTACAGCATTTAGTAACTTACCACCTATTCCATATACTTGCAACATCTGCCACATTGCTTCCCTATCCACTCTATCATATGCCTTTTCTAAATCCATAATAGCAATAAAAACTTCCCTACCTTTATCTAAATACTGCTCACATATATGCTTCAATGTAAACACTTGATCTACATATCCCCTACCCACTCTAAAACCTCCTTGCTCATCCGCAATTCTACATTCTGTCTTACCTCTAATTCTTTCAATAATAACCCTACCGTACACTTTTCCTGGTATACTCGGTAAACTTATTCCTGTATAATTTTTACAATCTCTTTTGTCCCCCTTCCCTTTATAGAAAGGGACTATACACGCTCTCCGCCAAAAAGAAAATACTTTCATCATCATTCAACACTTTCACCTCACTCATACATAATCATCGTTTTTGCAGAGGCGCCCAGATACGACAGTTTAGAAGCATATATAAAGATATATAACATATCCCTCCAAACTGCCAATATTCCAAACCCCTCCTTTAAAGTGCAGGCATAGTACTTCCCATTCCCAGTACTCAAGTCTGGCTATATAAAAATAACCGGTTTCCCTGAATCCCTTCACTAAATATTACCCTTCTCACACTCCAACAGCTTGTCAGGTCCCAAAAACCATTTGTCTCCATTCACTCCTATCTAACAAGCTCATGCACACTTGCAGGAAGTCCAAGCCCCTCACCCACAAAAACCTCCTTTACCCCCTCCCTCCAACCTTTTCAAGGACGACCCCTACCCCACTTTCCTTCCCCTACAGATTTATACACTCTCCATGCCATTCTATTTTGATCCATTCTCTCTAAATGACCAAATCACCTCGACAGCCCCTCTTCAGCCCTCTGGCTAATACACACCTTCTCCTAATTTCCACACTCCAAATTTTCTGCATAATATTTACACCACACATTGGAGATGTCCTGTCTAAGGGCAATGTGTGGTGTAAATATTATGCAGAAAATTCGGAGTGTGGAAATTAGGAGAAGGTGTGGAGTTAATAAAAGTATTAGTCAGAGTGCTGAAGAGGGGTTGTTGAGGTGGTTTGGTCATTTAGAGAAAATGGATCAAAGTAGAAAGACATGGAGAGTGTATAAATCTGTAGGGAAAGGAAGGCGGGGTAGGGGTCGTCCACGAAAAGGTTGGAAGAAAGGGGTAAGGTAGGTTTTGCGGGCGAGGGGCTTGGACTTACAGCAGACGTGCGTGAGCGTGTTCGATAGGAGTGAATGGAGACGAGTGGTATTTGGGACCTGACGAGCTGATGGAGTGTGAGCAGGGTAATATTTAGTGAAGGGATTCAGGGAGACCGGTTATTTTTATATAGCCGGACTTGAGTCCTGGAAATGGGAAGTACAATGCATGCACTCTAAAGGAGGGGTTTGAGATATTGGCAGTTTGGAGGGATATGTTGTGTATCTTTATACGTACAGTATATGCTTCTAAACTGTTGTATTCTGGGCTCCTCTGCAAAAACAGTGATTATGTGTGAGTGAGGTGAAAGTGTTGAATGATGATGAAAGTATTTTCTCTTTGGGGATTTTCTTTCTTTTTGGGTCATCCTGCCTCGGTGGGAGACGGCCGACTTGTTAAAAAAAAAAGAAAGTTGTCCTTAGACAGGACATCTGCACTGCCTCCAACCGCCTCCTCGCTGCAGCATTTACAACCCAAACTATACTTTCATATATTCCCTTCTTTGCCTCCATAGATAACGTTTTTTGTCTCCACATATACCTCAATGCACCACTCACCTTTTTTTCCTTCGTCAATTCTACAGTTAACCTCATCCTTCATAAACCCATCTGCTGACACATCAACTCCCAGACATTTAAAAACATTCACTTCTTCCATGCTCCCTCTCTCCAATGTGATATCCAATTTTTCTTTATCTAAATCATTTGATACCCTCATCACCTTACTCTTATCTATATTCACGTTCAACTTTCTACCACACCCTTTTTATATTCAACTATTTGTTATGTACTAACTAAGTCAACATGTATATTTTTTGGCAAATACAGTGGACCCCCGGTTAACGAACTTTTTTCATTCCAGTAGTATGTTCAGGTGCCAGTACTGACCGAATTTTTTCCCATAAGGAATATTGTGAAGTAGATTAGTCCATTTCAGACCCCCAAACATACACGTACAAACGCACTTACATAAATACACTTACATAATTGGTCGCATTTGGAGGTGATCGTTAAGCGGGGGTCCACTGTATTTCACACATACATCTCCCTCTCATTATGCAGATTTAATTTATGTTAATTCACTATTATGCGATGAAACCCCAAAGATTGTGCATTAATCACTTCCTAAATGGCTGAAGGATGTTCTAAAGTGCAAGGGAAGACCTGTTCTGGTGGTTGTGGTTGTAGAGGGAAGAGCCAGTATGCATGAGTGATGAATACTGTACACAATCACTTATCTGGTGATTAAATTTTAAACATTTAATATTTTCCAGCTTAAAATGAATGTGCCACAAAAGGAAAGGGATTATAAACAGATGACTTGAACTTTTGTTTTGAAATCTAGCATCCCCCCATCCCTCCCCATTAGCACTCCTTGGTAACTGATGATCTACAGTATATATTTATGCTGTATGCTATATACGTTCTTTTCTTTGCAGGCTGCTGAGGGCACGGGTCTTGCCTTCATCGTGTTTACACAAGCTATTGTAGAACTACCAGGTAGCAATTTCTGGTCGGTGTGTTTCTTTATGATGTTATTAGCGCTGGGTCTGGGTTCACAGTTTGGAACAATGGAAGGAGTCATCACAAACATATTTGACATGAAGGTCTTTTCCAGAGTTCGAAAGGAAATTTTGACAGGTATGTCCGTAAATATTTCAGATGTTTGGCTATTGATGCAGGTTGTCAAGGGTTCAGATGTTTAGTTACTGCTGTAGTAGATAAATAAAGTTTCAGATGTTTCACTACTGATATAGCAGATTGACCAATTATTATCAGAGAATATTTTCCTTGAACCTAGGTAGTAGGTTGGTAGACAGCAACCGCTCAGGGAGGTACTACCGTCCTGCCAGGTGAGTGTAAAACGGAAACCTGTAATTGTTTTACATGATGGTAGGATTGCTAGTGTCCATTTTTCTGTCTCATAAACATGCAAGGTTTCAGGTACGTCTTGCTACTTCTACTTACACTTAGGTCACACTACACATACATGTACAAGCATATTCGTATATATACACCCCTCTGGGTTTTCTTCTATTTTTCTTACTAGTTCTTGTTCTTGTTTATTTCCTCTTACCTCCATGGGGAAGTGGAACAGAATTCTTCCTCCGTAAGCCATGCGTGTTGTAAGAGGCGACTAAAATGCCGGGAGCAAGGGGCTAAGTAACCTCTTCTCCTGTATATATTACTAAATGTAAAAGGAGAAACTTTCGGTTTTCCTTTTGGGCCACCCCGTCTCGTTGGGATACGGCCGGTGTGTTGAAAGAAAGAAAGAAAGAAGATTTTCCTTGAAACATATTTTATCACTACTAGTTCAGTAATATCAGGACTTAAATACTGTACTGTACTGTATTCCATTATATAATTGCTTTCGTCCTCCTTGAATATTCTTACCTGACCTCTCTCATGATCCCATATATTTATTTATTTATTTATTTATTTATAATTTGAGCACACTTACAGAGGTACAAAAAAAAAAAAAATACAGATAAGAGCAGCATGCCAAAGCCACTTATACTATGCATAGCATTACGGGCTGGCTTAAAATTAACTTAAGATTAACTAAGCAATGATGAAATCAGTGAAAAACATTAATGTAAACTGATTACTATAAAGCACAAGTGAGTATTACAAAGACAGGTCATTGTTATAAATTCAGTAGAATGGAGTATTCTGTTAGGTAGTGTATTTAAAAAATAATAAAGTTAGATTGGGTTTTAGGTTTAACATTTATGTGATATAATTGTGAGAAACATTTAAGATATACAATTTATAAGGTTCAGTTATTCAGTATTTATTTGGTTTTGGGTGAGTAAGTGATCTTTGAGAAGAGACTTGAATTTATAAACAGGTAGTGTTTCTTTTATATTTACAGGTAATGAATTCCAGATTTTAGGGCCTTTTATGTGAATTGAGTTTTTGCATAGCGTGAGATGGACACGAGGAATATCAAAGAGTGATCTGTGCCTTGTGTTATGGTCATGTGTTCTGTTGAGGTTGGCAAGGAGATGTTTGAGGGGAGGGTTAATATCAGAGTTGAGTGTTCTATGTATGTAATAGGTGCAGTAATAAGTATGGATGTTTTGTATGGTGAGTAGGTTGAGTGTATTGAATATTGGTGGAGTGTGCTGCCTGTAGTGAGAATTTGTTATCATTCTAACTGCAGCCTTTTGTTGGGTAATTAGTGGTCTGAGATGGTTACTTGTTGTTGAGCCCCATGCACAAATTCCATAGGTGAGATAGGGGTAAATAAGAGAGTGATATAGGGCCAGGAGGGCTGACTGTGGAGCATAGTACCGTATCTTCGATAGTATGCCTACAGTCTTGGAAATTTTCTTAGAAATTTGTTGTATATGTGTATGAAATTTGAGTCTATTATCAAGGTGGATTCCTAAGAATTTTCCCTCTGTTAGCTTTGTGATAGGTGATCCGTTTATCATTATGTTAAGAGGGACATCTGTAGCTCTGTTACCAAACTGAATGAAGTAGGTTTTGTCAATGTTTAGTGTAAGTTTGTTAGTACTCATCCAGGTAGATATTTTCTGTAATTCGGTATTTACAGTATTGGCTAGCGTGACTGGGCTCGGGTGGGAGAAGACGTATGTTGTGTCATCAGCAAATAGTGTGGGTTTGAGTAATTGAGAAGCATTTGGTAGGTCATTTATGTATAGGAGAAAGAGAAGAGGGCCAAGGACACTTCCCTGTGGGACACCAACTGTAATTGGTTGTGCAGAAGAGTTTGCCCCATTTTATTTATTTTTTATTATCACACCGGCCGATTCCCACCAAGGCAGGGTGGCCCGAAAAAGAAAAACTTTCACCATCATTCACTCCATCACTGTCTTGCCAGAAGGGTGCTTTACACTACAGTTTTTAAACTGCAACATTAACACCCCTCCTTCAGAGTGCAGGCACTGTACTTCCCATCTCCAGGACTCAAGTCCGGCCTGCCGGTTTCCCTGAATCCCTTCATAAATGTTACTTTGCTCACAGTCCAACAGCACGTCAAGTATTAAAAAAAAACCATTTGTCTCCATTCACTCCTATCAAACACGCTCACGCATGCCTGCTGGAAGTCCAAGCCCTCGCACACAAAACCTCCTTTACCCCCTCCCTCCAACCCTTCCTAGGCCGACCCCTACCCCGCCTTCCTTCCACTACAGACTGATACACTCTTGAAGTCATTCTGTTTCGCTCCATTCTCTCTACATGTCCGAACCACCTCAACAACCTTCCTCAGCCCTCTGGACAACAGTTTTGGTAATCCCGCACCTCCTCCTAACTTCCAAACTACGAATTCTCTGCATTATATTCACACCACACATTGCCCTCAGACATGACATCTCCACTGCCTCCAGCCTTCTCCTCGCTGCAACATTCATCACCCACGCTTCACACCCATAATAAGAGCGTTGGTAAAACTATACTCTCATACATTCCCCTCTTTGCCTCCAAGGACAAAGTTCTTTGTCTCCACAGACTCCTAAGTGCACCACTCACTCTTTTTCCCTCATCAATTCTATGATTCACCTCATCTTTCATAGACCCATCTGCTGACACGTCCACTCCCAAATATCTGAATACGTTCACCTCCTCCATACTCTCTCCCTCCAATCTGATATTCAATCTTTCATCACCTAATCTTTTTGTTATCCTCATAACCTTACTCTTTCCTGTATTCACCTTTAATTTTCTTCTTTTGCACACCCTACCAAATTCATCCACCAATCTCTGCAACTTCTCTTCAGAATCTCCCAAGAGCACAGTGTCATCAGCAAAGAGCAGCTGTGACAACTCCCACTTTGTGTGTGATTCTTTATCTTTTAACTCCACGCCTCTTGCCAAGACCCTCGCATTTACTTCTCTTACAACCCCATCTATAAATATATTAAACAACCACGGTGACATCACACATCCTTGTCTAAGGCCTACTTTTACTGGGAAAAAATTTCCCTCTTTCCTACATACTCTAACTTGAGCCTCACTATCCTCGTAAAAACTCTTCACTGCTTTCAGTAACCTACCTCCTACACCATACACTTGCAACATCTGCCACATTGCCCCCCTATCCACCCTGTCATACGCCTTTTCCAAATCCATAAATGCCACAAAGACCTCTTTAGCCTTATCTAATACTGTTCACTTATATGTTTCACTGTAAACACCTGGTCCACACACCCCCTACCTTTCCTAAAGCCTCCTTGTTCATCTGCTATCCTATTCTCCGTCTTACTCTTAATTCTTTCAATTATAACTCTACCATACACTTTACCAGGTACACTCAACAGACTTATCCCCCTATAATTTTTGCACTCTCTTTTAATCCCCTTTGCCTTTATACAAAGGAACTATGCATGCTCTCTGCCAATCCCTAGGTACCTTACCTTCTTCCATACATTTATTAAATAATTGCACCAACCACTCCAAAACTATATCCCCACCTGCTTTTAACATTTCTATCTTTATCCCATCAATCCCGGCTGCCTTACCCCCTTTCATTTTACCTACTGCCTCACGAACTTCCCCCACACTCACAACTGGCTCTTCCTCACTCCTACAAGATGTTATTCCTCCTTGCCCTATACACGAAATCACAGCTTCCCTATCTTCATCAACATTTAACAATTCCTCAAAATATTCCTTCCATCTTCCCAATACCTCTAACTCTCCATTTAATAACTCTCCTCTCCTATTTTTAACTGACAAATCCATTGTTCTCTAGGCTTTCTTAACTTGTTAATCTCACTCCAAAACTTTTTCTTATTTTCAACAAAATTTGTTGATAACATCTCACCCACTCTCTCATTTGCTCTCTTTTTACATTGCTTCACCACTCTCTTAACTTCTCTCTTTTTCTCCATATACTCTTCCCTCCTTGCATCACTTCTACTTTGTAAAAACTTCTCATATGCTAACTTTTTCTCCCTTACTACTCTCTTTACATCATCATTCCACCAATCGCTCCTCTTCCCTCCTGCACCCACTTTCCTGTAACCACAAACTTCTGCTGAACACTCTAACACTACATTTTTAAACCTACCCCATACCTCTTCGACCCCATTGCCTATGCTCTCATTAGCCCATCTATCCTCCAATAGCTGTTTATATCTTACCCTAACTGCCTCCTCTTTTAGTTTATAAACCTTCACCTCTCTCTTCCCTGATGCTTCTATTCTCCTTGTATCCCATCTACCTTTACTCTCAGTGTAGCTACAACTAGAAAGTGATCTGATATATCTGTGGCCCCTCTATAAACATGTACATCCTGAAGTCTACTCAACAGTCCTTTTATCTACCAATACATAATCCAACAAACTACTGTCATTTCGCCCTACATCATATCGTGTATACTTATTTATCCTCTTTTTCTTAAAATATGTATTACCTATAACTAAACCCCTTTCTATACAAAGTTCAATCAAAGGGCTCCCATTATCATTTACACCTGGCACCCCAAACTTACCTACCACACCCTCTCTAAAAGTTTCTCCTACTTTAGCATTCAAGTCCCCTACCACAATTACTCTCTCACTTGGTTCAAAGGCTCCTATACATTCACTTAACATCTCCCAAAATCTCTCTCTTTTCCTCTGCATTCCTCTCTTCTCCAGGTGCATACACGCTTATTATGACCCACTTCTCGCATCCAACCTTTACTTTAATCCACATAATTCTTGAATTTACACATTCATATTCTCTTTTCTCCTTCCATAACTGATCATTTAACATTACTGCTACCCCTTCCTTTGCTCTAACTCTCTCAGATACTCCAGATTTAATCCCATTTATTTCCCCCCACTGAAACTCTCCTACCCCCTTCAGCTTTGTTTCGCTTAGGGCCAGGACATCCAACTTCTTTTCATTCATAACATCAGCAATCATCTGTTTCTTGTCATCCGCACTACATCCACGCACATTTAAGCTGAGGTATGACTTGAGGTAGTTGAGGGAGTGCCCTCTTATACCATAGTGTGACAATTTTACGTGGAGCAAGTCATGGTCAACTGTATCAAAAGCTTTACGTAAGTCAATGAAGATCCCCAGTGGGACTTCTTTTTTCTCTATTGCAGTGTATATATGTTCTAGCATGTGTATAATAGCATCATTAGTATTTTTATTAGGCCTGAATCCAAATTGGCAGGGGTTGAGTATGTTTTGGGAGATAAGGTAGGAGTAGATTCGTTTATGAATTAATTTTTCGAAGATTTTTGAGAGAGGGTGTAAGTTGGATATTGGCCTATAGTTATTCAACTCTGTTTGGTCTCCTCCTTTGTGGATCGGGGTGACCCTTGCTATTTTGAGTACTGTAGGGAAGGTGGAGGATTCAATGGATTTGTTAAAGAGTGTTGCAATGATTGGTGATAGCACTTGTGACACTTTTTTGTATATAAAGGGTGGTAAGGTATTTAAATCTCCTGCCTTGTTTTTTAGTGCGTTGATAATAAGGGAGACTTCGTATGGGTTAGTCGGAGCTAGGAACAGTGTGTTCGGGTAGTTGCCGGTGAGGTAGTCATTTGGTGGGGTATCTGAGCTTGGGATTTTATTGGCAAGGTTTTGTCCTATAGTGGAGAAGAAATCATTGAGTCTGTTTGCTGTTTCTGTTGGTGGGAGTTGGGGTTCATCTGATTTTGCTAATTTTATTTCGCTATTTCGTGATATCTTTTTTGTTCCCAGAATTTCTGATAGGGTTTTCCAGGTCTTTTTTATATCACCTCGTAAGTTGGATAATCTGTTCTCATAATACAATTTTTTTTGCCCTTCTTATCAGGCTGGTTAGGATTGACGAGTAACGTTTTGTTTGGTCTCTGGTTATGTGACCCATTCTGTACTGTTTTTCATATTGGTGTTTTGTATTTATGGATTTGAGAATGCTGGGTGTTAGCCAGGGACTGTTCAGTCTCTTAGCTGTCATCTGCTTAGTTTTTTTAGGGCAGTGCTTGTTATAGAGGTATTGAGTCTTTTTTAGAAAATTATTAATACATTCGTCAATATCTGTATTGATTTCTAGCTCAGTGTGCCAGTCAATGTTTGCTACTGCTGTTGTGAAGTTATTAATGGCTGCCTCATTGTGAAGTCTGAAGGTGACTTTAGTAGTGTCTTGGGGTAATTTACCAAGAGTTGTTATGAGGAAAGTAGGGTAGTGGTCTGTGGTATTATCTGTAATTATGCCTGATTTTAAAGGGGATATGGTGTTGGTCCAGATGTGGTCAAGTAGGGAAACACTAGTCTCTGTAACTCTTGTAGGTTTTGTTACTGTTGGTAGCAACATACAGTTACTCATTGTGTTTGTGAATTCAGTAACGTGTGGGTCCTGGTCTTGCAGGAGATTTATATTCTTTCAACAAACAACCGTATCCTACCGAAACAGGGTAACCCAAAAAGAAAAAACTTTCTCTTTTAAACTTTAGTAAAATATACAGGAAAAGGTCACTAGCCCTTGCTTCCAGCATTTTACTCTCCTACACATTCATGACTTATGGAGGAAGAATTCTGTTCCTGCCTTTTTATCAAAATAGTCACTCAGCAGTCAGCTCATTATTACAGATACATCAAGTTTTCACCCACAGACAAGTCTAGTTTTAGAACTGATGAGGGGAAAAAGGTGAGTGGTGCACTTAGAAGTCTGTGGAGACAAAGAACTTTGTCCATGGAACCAAAGAGGGGAATGTATGAGAGTATAGTTATACCAATGCTCTTGTATGGGTGTGAAACATGAGTAGTGAATGTTGCATCAAGAAGGTTGGAGGCAGTGGAGATGTCATGTCTGAGAGCAATGTGTGGTGTGAATATAATATAGAGAATTCGTAGTTTGGAAATCAGAAGGTGTGGGATTACCAAAACTATTATCCAGAGAGCTGAGGAGGGGCAGTTGAGGTGGTTTGGACATGTAGAGAGGAAAGAACAAAATTGATTGACTTCAAGAGTGCATAAATCCATAGTGAAGGGAAGGCAGGATAGGGGTCAGCCTAGGAAAGGTTGGAGGGAGGGGGTAAAGGTGGTCTTGTGTGCGAGGGGCTTGGACTCCCAGCAATCATGCCTAAGCATGCTGTGTATGCTTGTCCAGCTTACTGATTGGTATTGTATTCTGCATGGGTCCTGGCGAATATTGGGTCGGCATGTTTGATTCCTTTGCAAGTTCCATGGGTTTGATCATCATTGCCTTCTTTGAGACTATAGTCATTTCCTATGTGTATGGACACAAGAAATTTATTGATGACATGGAAAGGATGATTGGTGAACGACCTGGGATCTACTGGCAAGCAACATGGCGATTCATCTCCCCTCTCACTATCTTCTCAGTCGTAGTGGCTTCTGTCTACTACAGACTCTCTCATCCGAATGGAGCGAATGGAGACAAATGGTTTATAGGACTTGGTGTGCTATTGGAGTGTGAGCAAGGTAATATTTATGAAGGGATTCAGGGAAACCAGAAGGCTGGGCTTGAGTCCTGGAGATGGAAAGTACAGTGTCTGAAGGAGGGGTGTTAATGTTGCAGTTTTATAACTGTAGTGTAAATGCACGTCTGGCAAGACAGTGATGGAGTGAATGATGATGAAAGTTTTTTTTTTTTTTTGGCCACCCTGCCTTGGTGGGAGACTTCCGATGTGTTAATAAAAAAAATAATATTTTTTACATGCTGGCCATTTTCCACTGAGGTAGGGTGACCAGAAAAAGAAACACTTTCACCATCATTTGCAGTATCAGTCTTGCCAGAGGTGCACAGATACGACAGTTTAGATGTCATTCTAAACAGCAGCTATCCCAAAACCCTCTTTTAAAGTGAAGGCACTGTACTTTCCACCTCCAGGATTCAGGTCTGGCTAACCAGGTTCCCTGAATCCCTTTACAAAATATTACCCTTTCTCTCACACTACAAGCTCCTCAAGTCTCAAAAGCCATTCGTGAATCATGGGTTGTGAATATTGCAATGAGAAAGTGGTTGGAGGCAGTGGAGATGTCTGAGGGCAATATGTGGCATAAATATTATGCAGAAAATTGATAGTTTGGAGGGGTTGTTGAGGTTGCTTGGCCATTTAGAGAGAATGGAGAAAAATAGGATGACTTGGAGGCCATACAAATCTGTAGTGGAGGAGAAGCTGGGTAGGAGTTGTCCTAGGAAAGGATGGAGGGAGGGGGTAAAGGAGGTATTGCATGCAAGGGGCTTGGACATATAGCAGGCATGTGCATGTTAGATAGGAGTGAGTGGAAACAAATAGTTTTTGGGACTTCACAAATAGTTGGAATGTGAGCAAAGTAATATTTTGTGAAGAGATTCAGAGAAACAAGTTAGCCTTACTTGAGTCCTGGAACTGGGATGCACAGTTCCTGCACTCTAAAGGAGGGGTTTGGTATATTTGCTGTTAAGAGGGACATCTAAACTGTCATATCTGCACTTCCTCTGGCAAGACAGTGATAGTGTGAATGATTGTGAAAATTTCTTTTTCAGGTCACCCTGCCTCAGTGGCAGATGGCTAGAGTATTTAAAAAATGCTGTATTCATAAAAAAAGTACTAAACTCTTATGTACCATTCATTAGGGCTTGAAGGTCATTGTAGTTGGCATTCAGTAGATCAAAGAAATATATACTGTACAGTAATATTTCTTGTTATTTTTTGTAATTCTGCATCTTTGTATACAAATTGACATTAATTAAGCATTAAAATCAATACTGATTGTGAATAGTATTCCATAAACTGTAATGTTTTCTAATTTTCCTTCCTCAGGCAGTGTATGCTTGTCCAGCTTACTGATTGGTATGATATTCTGCACGGGTGCTGGTGAATACTGGGTCGGCATGTTTGATACCTTTGCAGGTTCCATGGGTTTGATCATCATTGCCTTCTTTGAGACTATAGTCATTTGCTATGTGTATGGACACAAGAAATTTACTGATGACATAGAAAGGATGATTGGTGAACGACCTGGGATCTACTGGCAAGCAACATGGCGATTCATCTCCCCTCTCACTATCTTCTCAATTGTAGTGGCTTCTGTCTACTACAGAATCTCTCATCCTCCTGATTACCCTGCCTGGAAAATGGAAGAGGTAAGATTATATACTCATGTTGGGAACAAGAAGCCCTTGACTTATCATGCTTTCTCTAGCCAGAATGTGGCCAGCAACACCCATGTATATACCTATTTACTGCTGGGTAATCAGAGGCACTCAGTGCAATGAAGCCTTTTTAATGCATCTTGTTTCTGATTAGGACAGGTTAATCAAAGAAGACAACACATTCACTGTTACTAACATGTTGCCTTTCCAGAAAGATACAGACATTATAGTCTAGGGTAGACCCATCAAGCTACATCATCCTCTTCACCTTGAAAAGCGTTCACTAGACTTACCAGCCTCTAAAACTCAAACCCTGCCAGCCTATTTTCCTGAAGTCTGTCACAGATAATATATACAGTGGTCCCTCAATTGTCCTCCATAATCCGTTCCTGGAAGTGGGACTATTATCGAAATAGACAATTTTCGAATCAATTTTCCCCATAAGAAATAATGTAAATACAATTAATCCATTCCTGACACCCAGAAATATTAAAACAAAAATTTTTTTTACATGAAACATAGATGTAGTACATAAACAATACAATGGCACATGATAAATGAAACATTAACAGCATAACACTTACCTTTATTGGCGATTCTTCTTAATGTATGGAAGACTGGAGGAGGAGAGAGATTGAATTACTGTTTGGAAGGGGAATCCCCTTCCATCAACACCTCAGGTACCAAGTGCTTTTCTGGGGTTACTTCTCTTCTCTGTTTCTTAATGCCACTAGGACCAGCTTGAGAGTCACTGGAGTCCTGTCTCGCAAAAAAGCTGTCCAGAGAGCTCTGTTTCTGGCGTCTCTTTACAACTTCCCTAAAATAGGCCAAGACTCTGTCACTGTACAAGTTGCCGATATGGCCTGCAACATCCTTCTCAGGGTGATGTTTCTCCATGAATCTTTCCATCCTACCCCACATTTCAAAAATCTCCTTAATTTCTGAAGAAGGTACCTTCTTCCATCTCTCTTCCTCCTCCTCTGCAGCAAGATTCTGAGCTGTGATCTGTTGCTCTTCCTGCTGAAGCTCTTTCAGCTCCTCAGTGGTTAGCTCTTTGTTGTGGTCCTCCACCAACTCTTCCACATCCTCCAAACTCACATCCAACCCCATGGAACTCCCCAGTGCCACAATAGATTTCACAACTGACATAGACTCATCAGGGTCAGCCACAAACCCTTCAAAATCCCTCTTGTGGACACAATCTGGCCACAATTTTCTCCAAACAACAACAGCTTCCTTGATTTCCTTTTTCTTTGCCACGATGGAAGATATAGTTGTATAGGGTTTGTTATACATCCTGGCCAGTTCGGTCACACGTACGCCACTTTCATATTGTTTAATGATGTTTTTCTTAAATTCAGTCGTATTTCTCACCTTCTTTACCAAAGGCTTGGCACTAGGAGCTTTCTTTGGAGCCATGGTAGCTTATTTAGCACTTGAAAGCACTAAAATAAATGGAATATTATGAAATATTTCGTATGAACACGTGAGGGGACCGTCGCTCACTGGTAAACAATGGCACACTGGCTATGAAGGGAGGCCGAGGCGGCTCAGAGCCGTGAGTACGCGTCCAGGACGAAAGACGATTAGCGAGTTAACGGACCATTTGCGAGCCAGTGTTTAGGGGAAATAACGGGACTATTTCCGAAATGGACGACTTTCAGGCAGGACGATTATTGAGGGACCACTGTACCTTGCTTACAGTTCAACAGCACTTCAGATTCCATTGACCATTTTCCTCTACTTGCTCTGGTCTACTGTGGATGTTCAATGCTCTTTTTCTCAATACAGTAGGGCCCCACTTACATGGCAGGTTAGGTTCCAGGCTACTGCCGTAAAGCGGAAATTGCCGTAAAGTGGAACACCCTTTTTTCCCCTTATAAATGCATACAAATACTAGATAATAAGTTTACACTAACATATATTAAGTTAGCAATAGAACTGATCATCGAAAAACAATAAAAAAGTACAATACACATATAGTGCACTCATTACTTACCTTAAAATATTTATAGTCTTAATCTAGGGTGAGATGAGTAGTATTTATTGTAAGAAATCAAATGTGGTATGTATGGTAGTCAGCCGGGCTACCATACCAGGCCATTGCACCTACACATAATATTCTATTACATTTAAGCATCCCAGAGCGATAAAATGCATATACAGTTTACTCATTACTTACCTTAAAATATTTATAGTCTTAATCTAGGGTGAGATGAGTAGTATTTATTGTAAGAAATCAAGTGTCGTATGTATGGTAGTCAGCCGGGCTACCATACCAGGCTACCCCACCTACACATACTATTCTATGATATTTAAGCACCCTAGAGCGATAAAATGCATGTACAGTTCACTCATTACTTACCTTAAAATATTTGTAGTCTTAATGTAGAGTCAGGGGTGAGTAAACGAGATAAAACGAATAAATGAGAGAGAGAGAATGAGTACATGAGAGAGGACAGGTGCAGAGTTATGTAAACAAACCAGGCAAACATAAGTTTTGTAAACAAACAAAGTGTACACATCTGGTTTGTGTACAAGTTACATTGTGTACAAGTTGTCTCTACATTGATATGGTAGAATAAATAAAGAAGAACACTCCCATTCTCGTGTAACACCATTTTTAGAAGAAATGATGCTGAGTGAAGGCAATGGAAATAAGTCACTCTGACTTTTTTGGGTTATCCTAGGTTCTCTACACATATGCTGTTATGTATGATAATCTATGTAACTGTATTTGTGTATACCTGAATAAACTCACATACAGTACACCTACCATCCAACTTATGACCACTCGACTTACGACCGTGTTTTTTATGCCAAATTTCTGGGAAATAAACAACTATTTGTGTTGTACACAGTGTTTATCCTAAACCTTACAGTATAAAATACAGTACTAACAACATAAAAAGTAAAGTAAAAGATGAAATACCAAAATAAAACAATAAAATAAAGTCATTACAAAAACGTTTTGTTCATATTCAGTAGTAAAGTTCGACTTATGACCATTTCGACTTACGACCGGTTTCTCGGAACCGAACTCGGTCGTAAGTCGGATGGTAGGTGTATTTAGATAAAGGTAGGGAAATTTTTATTTCATTTTTGGATTTAGAAAAGGCATATGATAGAGTGGATAGTGGAGCAATGTGGCAGATGTTGCAAGTGTATGGAATATGTGGTAAGTTACTAAATGCTGTAAAGAGTTTTTATGAGGATAGTGAGGCTCATGTTAGGGTGTGTAAAAGAGAGGGAGACTACTTCCCGATAAAAGTAGGTCTTAGATGGGGATGTGTAATGTCACCATGGTTGTTTAATATATTTATAGATGGGGTTGTAAAAGAAGTAAATGCTAGGGTGTTCGGGAGAGGGGTGGGATTAAATTTTGGGGAATTAAATACAAAATGGGAAGTGACACAGTTACTTTTTGCTGATGATACTGTGCTTATGGGAGATTCTAAAGAAAAATTGCAAAGGTTAGTGGATGAGTTTGGGAGTGTGTGTAAAGGTAGAAAGTTGAAAGTGAACATAAAAAAGAGTAAGGTGATGAGAGTATCAAATGATTTTGACTCCACATATACCTCAATGCACCACTCACCTTTTTTCCTTCATCAATTCTATGATTAACCTCATCCTTCATAAATGCATCCGCCGACACGTCAACTCCCAAGTATCTGAAAACATACACTTCTTCCATACTCCACCTCCCCAATTTGATATCCAATTTTTCTTTATCTAAATCATTTGATACCCTCATCACCTTACTCTTTTCTATGTTCACTTTCAACTTTCTACCTTTACACAAACTCCCAAACTCATCCACTAACCTTTGCAATTTTTCATTAGAATCTCCCATAAGCACAGTATCATCAGCAAAAAGTAACTGTGTCAATTCCCATTTTGTATTTGATTCCCCATAATTTAATCCCGCCCCTCTCCCGAACACCCTAGCATTTACTTCTTTTACAACTCCATCTATAAATATATTAAACAACCATGGTGACATTACACATCCCTGTCTAAGACCTACTTTTACCGGGAAGTAGTCCCCTCTCTTCTACACACCCTAACTTGAGCCTCACTATCCTCATGAAAACTCTTTACAGCATTTAGTAACTTACCACCTATTCCATATACATGCAACATCTGCCACATTGCTCTCCTATCCACTCTATCATATGCCTTTTCTAAATCCATAAATGCAATAAAAACTTCCCTACCTTTATATACTGTTCACATACATGTATATGCTTCAATGTAAACACTTGATCTACACATCCCCTACCCACTCTGAAACCTCCTTGCTCATCCGCAATTCTACATTCTGTCTTACCTCTAATTCTTTCAATAATAACCCTACCGTACACTTTTCCTGGTATACTCAGTAAACTTATTCCTTTATAATTTTTACAATCTCTTTTGTCCACTTTCCCTTTATATAAAGGGACAATACATGCTTTCCGCCAATCCCTAGGTACCTTCCCCTCTTTCATACATTTATTAAACAAAAGTACCAACCACTCCAACACTATATCCCCCCCTGCTTTTAACATTTCTGTCATGATCCCATCAGTTCCAGCTGCTTTACCCCCTTTCATTCTACATAATGCCTCATGTACCTCCCCCACACTTACATTCTGCTCTTCTTCACTCCTAAAAGATGGTATACCTCCCTGGCCAGTGCATGAAATTACCGCCTCCCTTTCTTCCTCAACATTAAAAAGCTCCTCAAAATATTCTCGCCATCTACCTAATACCTCCCTCTCCCCATCTACTATTTCCCCTACTCTGTTTTTAACTGACAAATCCATACATTCCCTAGGCTTTCTTAACTTGTTTAACTCACTCCAAAATTTTTTATTATTTTCATTAAAGTTTCTTGACAGTGCCTCTCCCACTCTATCATCTGCTCTCCTTTTGCACTCTCTCACCACTCTCTTCACTTTTAACACTTCTGCTTTGTAAAAACCTCTCATAAGCTAACTTTTTCTCTT